GGGTTTGAAATAGTAGGGGCCAGAGTGGAATTCTGGCGAGCTTCGGCGATTAGCTAAACTGAGGCGACTTAGAGCGTGCATGTCAACATATCCACGCTTCTTCATTGAGAGAGTTTATCAGGAAGGATATTGCATTCTCTGAAGGGCACGATGCATGAACTGAAAAATCTAAAAAGTCGAAATTTCTGATGGAGGATCCTAGGAAGCGAAACTACACACCAGATGGGGAAATGTGAGTGGATACGGAAATTTAATGGCGGCGTCCTAAATTCCCGGTGGCCCTTTCTCGGTGTCAAAGAGAAAGTTGTCCGAGAAGGGTGAGGAAAATAAAAGTCTAATCGACCCAGTATTCAGATAAATGCGTAGCCTGCCCAAAAAGTATGCAGATTATTTGAAGATCTTATACAAATTGGAAAGTTATTCCAAAGGAAAGTAAGTCTGGAAGCGAAAAAAAGCGACCGCATAGAGGTGGAGAAGGCTGGAGGAGGTATAATCAAGGAAGAGTTGCGAAAAATGCATGGGTGAATGGTAAGTGCTGTAATCCGAGGAAGATTAGAGCTATTATTAATGCGAAAGAGGAGACAGAAGCCTGCTTCTAGTCTTCGAACCCATAAAAAGTTTAGATTACTTAGATGATATCTATCTCAGAAGTAGATATTTGGACGTTTCATGCCTAAACGTTTTCTAATAAAACGTCTTTGGACATTTTCAATATTTAAACCACTAACGTCGTTCATCAAACCAAGGAATGGGCAACAATACTCGAGAATGGAAAGTACAAACATATGATAGAGCCTTAATTTAATTGCAGGAAGATGGAAATTGCAAAAAATAAGGCCAAAACTCTAGGCAGCTTTGGCCGTTATTCTCTCAGCGTGTGGCGGACGATCAGGATTGTTGGTGTAGCTTAGACCTAAATTCTTGATGGTGGTACGTTCAGTCGTAGGTGTGCCTTGAAAGACCACTGGTTGGGTTAGCCTATCAGATCCAAAACGCATATAGCAACATTTAGATGGAGAGAATTTCATTAGCCAGTTTGAGCTCCACGCTGCGGGAGCAAGCAAGTCAGCATGGATTCGCTCCAGGCAATGAAAGGTCTTAAAATTATTGAATGGATATACACATTTGAGATCATTGGCACAAATAAAGGATTGAGAATTTTGGACTGCCGACAAGATACCATTTATATTAAGCAGGAGCGAAAGTGAACCTAAAACGGTACCTTGAAGGACACCACGTACAGTAGGGCTCTCGTTGGAAAACGAAAATCCTTCTAAAATCTTTTCAGTTCAGTTCAGTTTATTGAGGGAAATAGGCGTAAGCCTTTGAGTACCCTATTTGCAACGTAAAAAATGTGTGGTGTACAGATAGATGTTCTGGACTAAAATAGTTTGAACACGCCCATAATGGTGAAACAAAATGAGAAGGAGTTACAGGGCGTGAGCTCGACTTCTCATCGCTCTTGGTCATTTCGGAACATAAATATGTCCAGATTCTTCTTAAAACTTTGTATAGATGGTTTATGATCAGACAGGTATGACTTGATAAAGCCCATATGCGGACTGTGAATTCCCAGAATTTTAAATTTAACCAAAAGTCTTCTATGTGGCACTTTATCAAAGACTTTATTAAGATCAAAATAAATAACGACCACAGAGCAATGATCATTACAAAGAGAAGTCAGTAGATTGAGAAACGACATATGACATGTTTCACAAGAGCGATCAGGTAAGAAGCCATGTTGGGAAGGGTTTATCACTTGATGGATTATGCAAAAGTCAGTAATTGTCATGGAAATAATTTTTGCGAAGATTTTTGCGAGAGAAGGTGTTTTACGGGCACCTCGATAGTTTTGAGCATCAGGGCGGCAGCCAGTAGAGACAGCATTGTTTTTTGTGCATGGCGGACGGAGGTTGGGGTAAATTGGTAGTCGGAAGGAAACAGATGTCTGAAACCGACGAAGCAGCAATTAGAATGACACCCTGACAGGCGTCAGAGCGTCTTGAGACAGAACATGTCTGCATCAGCTTTGAATTTGGTTGACCTGTTTCTATAGCCGTGGTTGGCTGAAAAACCAACTGCAATTGGTTCACACATGCAAGTACGGACGAGAATAACAGTATTGCAGCACGCTCCAGGAGTACGGTTCATACGCAACACTGGCCACAATTAACGATTTATTCCGTCGTGACATTTAGCCTGTTGTAATAGTCTCAAAATACGTCTGATCCATTATGGCGTGAAACGCGTTTTAACGCTGCGGAACTGGTGTTCTCAGAGTCGATCACACTCTCTCTTCTCTCTGTCATGCATTACTTGATTGTCTGAACCTGCCAACTAACAGGTTATGGGATTGGGCTCAGTGGCCGACAGAGCTGCAGGAGTCCGTATATGTGTATCCCGCACGACTGGATTGGTCACTAACTTCCACCAATGAATACACTTCCCCTTACGTCAGCTGTGCGTGTTCTGTGCATGTGGTGATTTATGTGAGGCAGGTTTGTGGATGGTGTATGAACTGGCCTAACGAGGTGTAGTGACGGTGTGTGAACTGGGGTTCCTTCATACAGATCCTTCTTGAGATGCACATAACCGAGTAGGCATATGCGATGACGGAATAATCTTAGGCAGTTGAGGCGGTTGCATCGGGCGTACGTCGGTTCTCCCAGCACTGGTTCGCCTGTCCCGGTGTGACTAATTAGCAAATAGGCTGACAGGCCGATGTGTGATGTAGATGTACGGTGCCAATAGAAAGAAGGTGGGTTGTCAGCCGCCGATTTGATGGTGACGGTGATAATACTGTTGCCGACAACGGAGCTGATTGTGAAAAGTTAATAGTGCTGGTTTGAGGTAGGTTTGGTATGTAGACGTTGCGGCGAATTACAATGTCACGGATACGCATGCAAACGAAAAGACCCGTGTGTTTTACGATGCCTTGAGTTTTTGTGGACAATGCTGCACGTATGAGGGTGTACATCGAGACTCCAGGCACTGATGCGATGAATTCCATGTTTCTGATCAGGCGAATGCGTGACGTAGAGGTGAGATCGTAATAGGAGTATGCAGGGATCGAGTCCAGTTTTCTGGTAGAGGAGGTGATATCGGCGGTTGATGCTAGGATGTTGGGGGTGTTCTCACGGGGAGGGGGCGTGTGGAGTTCGTAGTCGTCACCGTCGAAGCGGGCGTTGCGACATCAATGGTGGTGTTGGTGGGCGTTGGCGTTGGCGAGACAGCAGGAGTCTGCACGCCAGCGGTGATCGTCGACGTTTATGACATAGATTATATGGTAATAAGGTGGATGCGTTTTCGGATGCGGGAGATGTTGATCAAGGCCTTGCCAAGTATCAGGGTTTATTTGCAGACGTTAAAGAGGGCTTTCACGGCGTCCTTGTACGCTTTTACACTCTTTATCTACTAGCGCTCAAGAGAACATCGCCGTTAAACTCTTGTTTGGGCAGGCCCCCACCACTCGCCGACATAAAGTGACTGTGTCACCAAAGTTGGATTTTCCTCTGCATTACATAGAAATGAGGCCATTCTCTGTCGTCCTTCCTCGCTGCTGTATATAACGGTATTTTTAAATGAAATTTTTACTATCTGTCGTTCTCCTGATGCTGTTACGGTTAAACCCGACAAAATCTCCACATCATATCTCAAATGCCCGTGGCGTCGTAAGGGACACTTCTATAGACTTAGACAGCCTGACAGTGCAAAGAAAGCTAACCTCTTGATAACAAGGATTCTTATCAGACTAAACGATTTACCTGCTCGTCAAATTCTTCCTTAACTCTCACTTCAACCCTTTTCTCGGGTGACCTTTGGAGGAATATTAATCGTCTTACTGGCCACGGTAATACGTTGACACATGACAATGTTGGTTAAGACTCTTTGAATGAAAATTTTATCTTTAATCCCGATGACGTCAAGCTTCTCTAAAACAATATTGCTCTAACACCGTGTGCCTTCTCTCCTTGTCAGTGACAACAGTGGAGAGACATCTTATCAACGACTGCAGGGCCGAATAGTATCCCGTAACTTCTCCTACGGTCTTGTTGTTCTCAGATGATAGTTCGACCGTCGTTTCCGACGATGTCCATTGTGTGCTCCACACTAAGGTGAAGCAGAGACGGTGACTTTCGCGTGATATAGTTTATGGTGAACGTAGACTGCACCGAATCTACCAAACTCCTCCCCCCCCCAACCGGACCCGGTGTCAAGACACATATTCAAGGGGACCGGAGGTGGGGGAGGACGCAGGTGGATGGCACGGTCGAGCCTGAACCATGGCGTTCCACTTCAGAATCCCTGGTCCATACAGCAAATTACCAAGATTTTAACAGGCAACAAAAGGGGTGCTGGCATGACCGGAGACGTACACAGGGGTGTCGTCACACCTGGATCGGGTCCAACGGAGTGGGAGTGCCATAAAGGTCACATTAAGAGGGAGTTATTGCAGCCTGACCCTTAGACAACCAGTACGCCGCTCCACACAAACACGCAACACTGAGCCAACTGCGAGGTCCAAGTTATCCCATAAGTTGGCTACCTTCCAAGCCACGGCTTTTAGCGCGCCGTGATAGCTTCAGGCGCGTCAGATTGTTTATAGTAAGGAAAGTGCGCTGGGCCGCCGAGTTCACTCTCCCTTCTCATCCCCAGGCCCCAGTCGTTATCCGAGCCGGTCAGTTGACAGGTGCGGGAGATGGGCGCGGCGGCTGACATATAGAGTGACCTTGTCTGCGCGTGCCACATGCACGACCTGCCCATCCAAACACAAACACCAGGATTTCGCACAACGTGGGTTGAACGGCGTACCTCTCACATGCTCGAGAGTGCCGTAGGTCACGCTAAGAAAAAGCTGTTTCAGCTTGACTCTCAGTCCACCAGTCCTCCACACCGCATAAACACATACACACAAGTGGGCAGGCTGCGTGGACTGAGTTAGGGCGTGAGTCAGCAGCCTTCAAAGCCACAGCGTTTGACGCGCAGTGATGGTCTCAGACTCAAATCACACATGCAGCAAAGAAGCAGCATGGAGACGGAACCGAGACGCACACTTCCCGCTTGCGTGGGAGGTGGCGATTGGATGCATGTGATGGATGGTGATGTTGCGTGATGTAGGTGGAGGAAGATATGATGGTTTGGTTTAGCCGGCGGTTGTCAACCCCAGGTTGCTTGTAGAGCTCAGTACAGATCGCGTCCGATCCGGGCGCTTTCAAGCTGGAGAGATGCTGCATGGCCCTGATGGTTTCATGGAGAAAGGGCTGGAGGTCGAGTTCATCGTTAGTCTCTCCTTGATGCAGACGAGCGATGGCGGCATCGGAGATGGTGGAGGGGTGATTGAAGACGCTTCTGAATTTCTTAGCCAGTCGCTGTAGAACTTGTGTCTTCTCGTAATTAGTGTGCGGCCGTCGGCGCTGAGGAGAGGAGCATTTGCTTTGGTTGACGGACCGTGCGCAGCTTTGGTTGGCTGACCGTGGACAGTTTTGATCGCGTCGAAGAAGTTCTTTCATCTGTCGCCAAGGGCACGGTCGCCAGGAAGGAGTACAAGTCCTCGTCGAATAAGTACCTCTCCTCGTGGGGGGTGGTCACCTGGGAGGGTAGACACTGACGACGATGGCAAATTAGCCTCCCTGGAGAGTCAGGCTCATCAGGCGATCGTTAATACCCTGCGGCAGAGAGGGCAGTCGTCCCACGAAGTCGGTTCGAATGGCTAAGGCGACGCCCGCGTCCAACTGCCAGACCATGAGGCGACCGTTCCAAAAGAAGGCGTGGCTGGCACCCACCGCCTTCAATTGGCCTCTTTTAAAGAATCCCGTCTCACTGAGTGCGGCAATGCCCACCTTGTATCGTGCCATTCCCTAGGTCAATAGCTTTGTCCTCCTTTCCGGTCGGTTGCTCCTCGGATTGTCTAGAATCGGGCGGACATTTCTGGTGACCACAGTGAGCGGACTCACTCTATCAGTCTGTGGGGTTAGGAGAGGGGGAGAAGGATGAGGAGGAGGAAGAGAGGGAGAGTGTCGTTTTGATTTGGATGGTCTCGACCGTATGTCTTGCATCTGCAATCACGGTCAGCCTGCAGACGACGTGATTCCCAACATTTGTTTAGGGAACCATTTCTACACCCTCCCCCTCGCGGGAGTGAGTAGTGTTCCCACTAACTAGCGCTGCTCTGTTGTCCCAGACGTCTGCTGAACTGCACTATGGGTCACGGCATTTTTTAGTGAGGAACCTACCCGAGTTAGCCTGGGCCTGCCTACAACATCGCCGAAGATTTCAAGGGGGAGGAGGGGAGATGGGAAAAGTTAGAGAGAAGAAATAAATAGCATTACCGTTCCTCTCTAAGCAAAATGGTTGTTGAAATGTAAGTGGCGAGCAAAAAATTGAAAAGAGCGGCAGTCAACCTACAGCAAAGACAAACAGAACAAAAAGACGAAAGGCAGGCAATAAAGAACAGTCAGAAGCAAACGCAGACCGAGGAATTACAACGGAATGGCAATAACAACAGGGACAAATACACAGACAGAACGCAAGCAAGAGCAAGCAAAGCAGAGACGGCAGAATTTACTATGTTCCCGAAATTAAATTAAGACTCTATCGAATGTTTGTACTTCCCATTCTCGAGTATTGCTGCCCATTCTTTGGTTTGATGAACGAGGCTAGTCGTTCGAATATTGAAAATGTTCAAAGACGTTTTGCTAGAAAACTTTTAGACATAGAACATCTAAATATCTCCTACTCAGATAGATGCCAGATAATTAGCCTAAGATTTTTATGGGTTCGAAGATCAGGAGCAGACTTCTGTCTCTTGTTTCGCATCAGTAAAAATTCGAATCTTTCTCGAATTTCAGCCCTTACACCTAGTAATTGCCCGTACATTCTTTGCAATTCTTCCTTGATTATGCCCCCTCCCGCTTCCTCCGCCTCCAAACGCTCTCTTTTTTTCGCTTCCAGGTATACTTTCCTCTGGAATAACCTTCCAACTAGTATAAGATCTTCAGATAATCTACATACTTTTATTTCCCTCATTATTCTCGGACAACTTTCTCTTTGACACCGAGAAAGGGCCATCGGGAATTTAGGACGCCGCCATTAAATTTCCGCATCCGCTCACATTTCCTCTTCTTGTGTGTAGTATTGCTTCCAACGATCCCTCACTAGGAATGATAACTTTTTTGATTTTTCAGTTCGTGCATCGCGCCCCTCGCAGAATTCGCTCTACAACTGCTCTTGGCGGAACCCTCTGTATTCGCCATATACTAGTAGTCAAATCGCATCTCCCTTGCCCCCTTCTCGGCCTGACTCGAGGCCGACTGTAACCGATCTCATCTGGTTTCCTATCGCCTCGAGACTGGTTTTCTATTCGTCACCTTGACCTGAATGGCCTCATCCGGCATGTGAATTCTGCCTTGGTGATGTGAGTTATGAACCTTTTACTCAATATCACATACGGGCCAGCCCTGCCTGACCCGCCTACTTACTCCTTCATGAAATCCGATATACACTGCCACATGCAGGCCGGTCCTGTCTGTTTTTTATACATTCATGAGCGACAGATTTTTTTCTATAATGTTAATCCAGACATACTCATTTTGTTTATATGCTAGGAGTTTTTTCATTGCATTCTCACAATGTTGTAACATACTACTTATTAGAACTAGGAATTAAGTATTATACATATCCCGTATACCTGTTCTAAACTTCACGTTAAAGCTATTCATACCTACTATTAACGGACAACACTTGTCTTGAATAATAATTATCATTATTATTAGAACAACGTTCGCCTACCTGGGGGCCCACTTACAATGTGGCCTCCCGCGGTGTTGCAGGCGGATTCTTGTCTTGGAGATACCCAGGCGGTGGTCCATCCAGCCAGCGGAACTAAGTTACCGTATGCGGGGATGTACACACGGATACACTCACATGATTTAGTCTGTTGGACGAGGTGGTTACCGGGGTGTGGCCGATGGGCATGGCCTATCTTCGGGGAGCCACATGTGACAATTGGGTGCTAGTTAATGAACGCTGGGCGTAGTCTACGCCCGCAAGCAAGTGAGCGACCTACTACGACCGTCACATGGGGCTTAGACTGGATACCCCAGCACCCCGTTTTTATGACCGAATGTTGTGGACAGTCACCCGGGTCACTGGAATATCGATACATGGGCAAATTTTTCCGTCAACCAGGCGGTTCAGTAAAACTAATAGCCTCTTATAATGCGATAATAAGTTCATTTATTGAGTTCCGTGAATGGCCCAAACAACAATATGGAATGAGTGCCTCCTAACTTTGTTGTCGCAAATAAAACTGTGGTGTGCCAACAGCACAAAATTCCAGCACATGGTCGAAACTTGATGTCCGGGGAATCGAATGTATCCCCGAGATTAGTGCTGAGCCAAATGCTTGCAAATGATGTTGCAGAAACATGAGTTAGTTGAGGTGTTTAAGTATGCGGCGCATTAAGTTTTTTAAAAATGCTATAGCGCGCATAGCCTTCGGGTCCCGATTGGGAGTCGTGAGGTCCTCCGATAAGTCACAAGTTCGACAGATGAGTTCTTCGCAACGCGCTGTGAGACGCAGGACAGGATTTTTGGAAAAGACAGCCTGGCACAATATGCGGGACCGACGCAATCAAGGTAGCGCTGTTCTTTTATGGACGCCTGGTACACCATGGACTGTGGTACGTATTGAATTCTTGGAGGGACCGCAAGGCTAAGAAGTTACAAAGCCAGGCGGGTCGCAACAACATGAAATAATTCTCCACCTCAGCCGAGACGGTCTACAGCTCACGCACTAAAGAAATCGCGCCGCAACTCAGCTGCGAAGGAACGCGTTACCAGTGGGCCAATCAGTGCCGTTGAAACGCTGAGTTGATAACCCCAGAACCGGCCTTAACAACTCATTCACGATCATCGATGACGCCATCCGCGTATTCATTAGGTGGAAACGAACAATGAGCGGAACCTTTCGCATGCCCTCACGGAAACAGTCAGAACCGTGCACCAGCTGTCTAGTTGGAAAGCACCGACATCTGATAAGATCCCCGCTGAAGTCTACAAGCTTTGCGGCCGCGGCTGATGGAATAACCTGCTGCGTTTTTGCGGGAGTGTTTTGGCCATTGAGGCTTCTGTGAACATTTTGGTGACGCCACCAATATCGACATCTTTTATCGCAATGGCAACCGTTCACTCTGTTATGGCCACAGAGAATTAGTTCTTTTCAGAACTGTGAGCAAGTTATTTACCCACGCTCCCTTTAAACGCCTGAATGCTTACCTTAAACACAAATTTATCGTCGAAAGTTTTCCTAGGACGCAGGCACGATTTTCACCGGTCGCCAGTTGCAGAAACATTCCCAAGTACCAAGACGTAACCTCTACATCACACTTGGTGGTCTGACGAACGCTCCCGGCACAACGAATCACGATAAACTCTGAAGAATCATGGAGAACCTCGAGTATCCTAAGCAATCAACTACGGTGTTACTTAATCCTCATTGCGAATGATGGTGCGCATCATGAGCAGTAGAGCAGTCTCGAAAGCATTCGTGGTCGCCGGTAAAGTGAACGACGACTGACTGTTCTTTTCCACCTTCTCTAGTTTAATATTGCATGCTACCCTAATGGACTCCTACTGTGAAGAGTACACAGACACCAACATCGTCTACAGGACCGACGGCTAGCTTTTAACTTCTGACGCATGAAGTTACAACGCACGTCTCCACATTCACTTCCATGATTTATTGATCTCTGAAGACTGCACGCTCAAAACCACGACAAAAGTGGATATCCAATAGGATAAGGACCTCCGTGCCTCTGACTACGATCATTTTAAATTGACTATCAATGAGGTCTTGGAAGGCCTTGCACAACTTCACAACCTTTGTCAAATTGAATATGTTACACCAAGCGGTCTATACGAACACGCTTGCCTCCAAGGTCTTGCGATCGTTTATCCGGCTTTCCACAATGCGTGTTGTAACAATCCCGGCTCTCCAGGATAACTACATGTATCTCGTCATTGATGACTCGTCAAAGGTGAAGCTTCGCATATGGACATCACAGAATAATTTGGGTCGCACACATGTCAGCAATTTGTTTAAGCATATTTCTCGTTTGTCCTCTGATGGCATTATAGTCGCCCGGCTGCGGGCTAGTCCTGCGACAGGCTGACTCATTTTGACAATCTCTTCCCTTAGGACTTATTTCGTGTGACTGGCATCACACACACATCGTCAGCCAATAAGCCTACTAGCCTTACACTACCCCGCAAATCCAAACCGGCTGGCAAATTTCCAGCTCTGGGCGCCTAAATGCTATCATGGGCCCGTGACAGTTTGCGGGCACAAATTAACAACCTTCATGTTAACGTTTTACTACCACTTGCAAGTGCGTTTTTGTGACGGTCAACATTTTTTTGTGGCCGATACTCAGTTATAACTGAGTATACCTATGCGCCACCTTCTCCGCACCCCCGTAAAAGTGGTAGCAGCCCCACAGTTACAATATTTTACCTACAATCTGCAAAATGCACATGAAAAGCAGTTAAGTACCCTAGTAGCAATTGCATACCGAGGCGACAGCGACTCACTGCCGAAAAGTCTCTTTAGGCATGACTGATTAGCGGATTTTGTCCATTTGGTCGTTATCGAGACGGCAGCGACGCTGTATGGTGGCAGCACCGGATATTAGCTGTCTTTGTTTAGTATGCCCTTTAGTACCTACGAAAGGTCTTTCCCAGCTCACTTATGTGCTCTATCAATTCACATACTATGTATCCCCCGAAGCAGATTCGAGTCGAAGTTGTTTTGTTGTTGGCGGATAATGTTTTTTTACTGTAATAACATAGTGCGAAAAGCGGGTGTTCTCAAATGCTCTCTTGCGTCTTCGATGAGGGACACGATGGGCCTGTGGTGGGTTCTGAACGGAGGACGTGTATTTAGAAAATAGTAACACTAACGGTCACAGTTGTCCAATAGTGGTTCCGGCTGACAGCGCCACTTCCGGAGTGCGTCGAGGGGACATTTAAGTCGCCTCATGAAGGCGGCCTCCAATTCGCATACGTCCACGCGGCTGCCTTTGTTTCACAGCTCTATTTAGCAGTATGGGACACGCATAGGCGCTAACGCACCTTTAATGACCTCACATACCTGCGAATCACACAGGCCCTCCTTGGTTTATTCCCTTGAAGTTTATGCGGTCCGTAGCCTCGTCATCAGAAAGGGCATAAAACACTCTTGACAAAGTTGTTCGTATTTCGTCCGCCGAGGCCGACAAAAAGCCTCTCTGAAAATATGCCCTGACATTCGTAAAGGCCCACCAGTCTACATCTGAACTGGAGGTCACAAAGCCTGCTGTTCACAACAAGGAAGTCAGACTTCGTGCTCACCGGCTGCCTAACTGGATTACAAGGCAAGGCGGCTTTCGTGTCATCTGATGCAGGCTGGCGGTCTTCCAAAAGGCATCCCGTGGTGTGCAACCTTTTAGCGGCCGAAGACGTTGAGGGTAGCATACACGAGGTAACGCGGAGCACTAGATATAACTTTTGGATAATACTGATCTGAAGAGAATTGTTAAATGGGTCATTGATCTGATCCAAGAGCAGGAAGGATGATCTGTCTGGATAAGGAGGTAATCCCAACATATCAGTTAGACATCCGGTGGTGAATGCAGCGCTGTCAGCAACTGCAGGGTGCAGCCGCAGAAAGTGCCGACGTGAAGCGGGAAATGCGGAACGGTAACTGCGATAACGGCAGGAAGGGAGTTGACGGGGATGTGAGGACAGAACAGCGGTTTTTTCGTTGGCACGCGGTCACACCATCATTATCCTGCATCCGCGCTCAAAAAGTGTCAATTCATTCGAACTACTCTACAGTTCAGTGGACCTTACGGCCGGTCATGCATACGAAGGTTGTTTTTAATGTGCCGTGCTAACTGCTTGCGCATTAGCTTGTTTTTCTTCCGTTGACGTTGCAGCTGTAGCAAGTTAGCAGTGATTTCTGTGCAAGTTGTCTGATCACGGTATTCTATGAAGGCTGTTTGCAGCAAGTAGCATTACCATCGGCGTTTGCAGGCCTGCTTGCAGGCAGCTTGTCAAGACAATCCATGTTTAGGTCAACAACGTCCTACACAATTCTTAATATAACGTGATGAAACCAACTATGGGTGACAGAGGCGGCTGCTCAGCCGCCATGGTGGACCTTCGTAAGGATTCTGGTGGGTCTGGTTGACTTCCTGCGACCGCTGTCTTCATCGCCAGACTCCGTAGATCTATCTACAATCACACACAAAAAGGGGGTCAGCGACTTGGCCTGCCACTACGTCCACGTCATCTCGTGATGCTTGTAAAACACTAACTGCGGAATGTGTGGTTGTGGGGTTAACCAGTACCGTCCACATTGAGGACGAGACTAAGTGTTAAACGCCAGTTGTCCAGCATTATCTGTCTATTGTTTCCATCAGGACGTATGAGTGGCCATGAGAAGAGAAAACATATTTAGAAAAAGAGGGATAGACTTGCACAGCCGATGGCACTTGAAATGTAAGCTGTGTAGATCTTTACGTTTGAGAAATCCGTAGGATAAGCGAAGTAATCTGCCACGTTATCGAACTCGTTGTATATTATCAGATGACGTCCTGCGCTGTCTTGCAGAATGTTCTTCGCACCCACTATCTTCTCACCAAGACTAATGGATCTATTAGCTGTTAATGTGTCCACTTGGAATCGTGCGCCGAGCACCCAAGTAAACTGTTTTCGTACACCAACCCCATCGGGACGTAGGCCCAAGTTATGTTTATGTTGAAACCTAACTTGGCGGACATTGTGTGCGCAACCTCTGCGTGCCCATTTTACTTAGTCGTTTATATCTACTGCAAGGGCCTGGACAAACTGCTTAACAGCTACTTCAATCGGACAAGATAGCTCGAAGGGGAAGGAAGAGAAGGGGTCCAAGGCTCCATGACGTTCAGCGTCATCAGTAATGTGCATGATGATGATGTGCACACTGTAGACCACGTGTTAGTAGGCCCAAGTGTCAATAAAAAGACAGGAATAAGTAAACCCTTTCGGGTTCCAGTCTTCGGTCGAATTCGCAGTCTTCTTTTGCTATTCTTATGTTCCGCTGCCCACACTATTATGTTTAAATGTTTCTATTCACGGTCTCCAAGACAGTAATGTTTTGCTCTGCATGCCGTTCTGCCCCCTAACCACTCATTTTCTTGATTTAATAGAAGCTGTCTAATGTCTAACTTGAATGTAATGCTGTCGCAGACCTTTGCAGAAGGACGCTCTACTGCTCCAGAGTCTTCGGTCTTAACTACCCAAGCGGTGAAAACGGGACAGAATTAGTCGTTTTCAGTCTGTGTTGATTTGGGAAAAAAATCAGTTTGACAGGGTTGCCATCTTTGCGGCCGCATTCCATGGGTAAAACGACGCTCTTTGGGTGGCTAGAGTGCAGCTTGAAAAAGGCCGAGCTCTATCTGGTGCAACTGCATGTCGAATCACCCGCCAGAGGATCTGTTCACGCACGGTCAGTGCCAATAAACCAACCGTATTAGTGGGAGAACCAGCCTGCGGTTTTATCGATACCTTTAAATTCAGATAACTTTCAGTTCATTTACAGTAGAATCACAAAAACCTAAACCATCGCAGGTATATTAGATTCGTACTTAGTTACTGACTGAAAAAGATCTCCTTCCGAGGTTTGCCTAATTTTTCTGCCCAACTTGGCCGATCTGGTATCCGGTCGTATCTATATTTTAGGCTTAAACTTTTGACAGCCACTTGTCCAATTTTACTTATCCTTGTCTGTAGTAGCCCGAACGCACAGGCTACCGAGGACGCGCAGCTCTGTTGCCAGAACATGTCATAATGACCTTGCGGCCATGTTGGCTAACTTGGAGATTTTAAATACGACTGACGCTGATAAGTCTCGACGTCAGACCACTAGTTTTGCAGGAGGGCTTCCTGATTCCTCCTCCCGCACCAGGTGGGAACTACTATGTAGTTGCATCCTTCAATATTTAGGCCGGCTTCCATGGGCCTCCAGTTTAACGACTGCACAAAGCTTTACCGACGTGTTCATATTCAGTTATGTTAATCAGCCTTAGACACGGTGAAATCGCCTATACTATCTTTAGGGTGAAACTGAGCGCTGTCAGTGTATGTGCTCATAGAAATGGCTCGGCAGTCGAAGGGTACCTACCTATTAATGAATTGCAGAATTGAACACCGTATTGCAAATAGCAGCCGACCTTGGCGGCCTTACTGTGAAAGAAAAACAAACTTTTCACAGGTACAGGCTAATCAGAACAAGGTTTGCATTCGGCAAAGTGTAGTTGAATCTGCTATGAAAATTGATGGGTAACATCCGCTTGAACACAGGCAAAAAGATGCTCAGTTTAAATACAGAGTCATAGAAAAGTGCGCACTATGACTGTAGCATGTAAGTGCTGTGACATCTGCATTAGGAGCGATGGGGTGACTGCGGCCATGTTTGCCGAACAGTGCTCAGACAAATGCGAATTATCTTTCGCGTGTGTGCATACTTTTTTCCGGGACAATTTTCAGTCGAGCACGGGCATATGGACTCCCAGTACTACAGGTGGCCTCACGTTAAAGTCCAGGGACTTCCTATTTCCGTGTCCTAGCTTTAACCTTAGCCCTTCTGGTCCTATCGCTAATTCCCCTGGAATTTAGGGCGAGACCTCGTGTAACACGGGGCCCATATGCCCGTTGTCAGCCCGGCTGTCTAAGCGGAGGACAAAGTGGTTGAGTCGACAGGACTTGAGACCAGAACCCAGCGGAGTTGTGGGGGCGGACTCCGAACTCACCTTTTCTCAGGTTTTCTGCCCCTGTCTTGGTCGTTCAGCCGTTTGCCTGTTTTACTTTTCCTTTAACATCTCAAATGACTGGACGGAAGTCCTAGCCATCTACGACGTGGAAAGGCATCTAGGTGGCCAGCAGCAAACTACTGTCTAGCCAGCTTCGCCAGCGTAGTGCGTCTGTGTCCGAACCGAAGTAACGCTGTCTAACTCGCGATGATCTCACAGTTCGACATCTGTATGCGTCCGCCATTGGAGACTGGGCTGCGTGAGCGAAGTGCGTGGTTGCTTATGGAGCTGGCGTCAATGACCCAGACCACCCTGCCTGATTCCCTACTGCCGCCATTATCTCCGAAGCCGTATTCCTGATCCGCTTCCTGGGTGAGTAGCGACTGGAGACAGCGGATCGCCTCCGAACGACCCGTCTGTACTCGTGAATGCGTGAACTTAATCGTCATGCTGTCAGGCCGGTATATTGACAAAGGCAACGGTGGTAATTTTTCTATCAGCGGCCCGAATGTGATTTCTGTGGACATTTCAAATTCAGAACACAAGTTATAACTAATGTCGTACTTTTTGTCTGCTCAGTTATAACGTGTCTAGTGTGTAACTTGAGGTGAAGAAATCTAGCGGATATAAGAAGCAGCATAGTAAAATAGGTAGATGGAAGTACTTTTGCTTGACACGGCTGTGACCCTGCCTGGTTTAAAGGACTTCAGTGGTGTCCCGTTCAGTGCCTCTATCGGTGGTAACCTGCAAAAGCAGCTCTAGTGAGTCTGACCCACTCCATTCTCTAGATACCTAAGATCGAATACTGGGTTCAGTGGCTGCATTTGTGTTTGGGCCGACTAACGGAGCAGGTTTTGGGCCGAGGTTCAGTTTGTGGCTTCAAATTATGCCGCAGCGTTGGGTTTCGGGTAGCAATGCCAAACTCATGGGGCAAAAGGCGAGGAGCATGTCCATTCATGTCAGCCATCTTTCTTGGGTGGCTTAAGGTGCACTAACGATGTTTTCGTATCGTGTGCAGATTGTCTCATTTCATGGAAAATTTGTTCACCGCAGTCGAAGGATGTGGTTGCTGTAAATACTTAAGCAACTTAAGTTACGAACAGTAAACAAACATTAAGATGAGTTTCAAGGTCTTGGCATGTGTGTTTCTAGATTGACTTGTAAGAAAGCCCAGACCAAAGATCGGTTTATTGCTCAGCATTTTTGGTGGTCAACGTTCTTGTACTTGCCAAAGTAAGTAGGCACTATCCTGCTTTAAAGCTCAGAATAATTTCACTAGGCCCTGACAGCTATGATAGGGATGAAACCATACTGCAATCGCCACCGATAGTAATAATTTTGCCAATAGAAGCGAAGAGACGAGTCCTAGGATGCAGTCGCAATGGAAGAGACACGATCGCCGGGGCAGTAATAATTTTTCTATCACTTACCATTCCCGTCTTTACGCGTTGGCCAGCAAAGACCCATGCGGTATAATACTTTGTTCGTACATTGGTGGCTTGGTTATAGGAACATCCCCGTTTGGTGGCTATACTTAAGCGCCGTAGTTTCGTTAGGCCCATGGTTTCGTCGATTCTTGTGGTTAATCCGAATTATTTTCAATGTGCGAATGAGTGTATGTACAAGAATTAAGGCCAGGACCAGGTCGAATAGCCTGGTTAACAGATATTCTAGCTGTATGGAGGTGGATTACTATCCAATCATACGTTTTATCTGGAAAACGCATCGTAGCTATCAGACAGGCGGAAAGTCAAGTGAGAATTTCCTGCTAACTGAGCTTTTCCTTCCTCCTAGTTCACAATCTTTACTTTTACATGTATCACTTGTCATCAGACCCGACTTTACTAGGCCCAGCACTAGGAACGGCGCAGATTAACGGCGTTTGTGCTGCAAAGCCGTCGCTGAGAACCAAACCAATATTCTGCAGGCTAAATCATCAGTTATCCCTGACCTTTAAACGGAGGTTCCAGCCGCGTCTTCTTAGCAGCAGATGGAGCAGCATGCACTGGCGGAAAGCATTGATTATTTCATGATACCTTCTCTCCTTTTCACCCTGTTGTATGTTGCCAGCTGGATAGATCGTTACCAACCATCTATAATGATACCACGATGGTCCGAGCTGGGGTTGCCTGTTTGCCTGCTTTTCGACCCTTTATTTCGAAACATCCTGCAGCAGTAACTAGCACGCGACAAAATCCCATTATAATTCGTGCGGCGGGGCCTTGGCATCCCACCAAGAATTTTTCCACTCTTCTGCGTAAGCCACGCTCGCAAAAGAAATTACTTAAGCTTACCTCATCTCCTTATCATTATTTTGGTCACATCGTAAGAGAGATGCACCTGAATTTAACCTTTTCTATCCATTCTTGGATAAACTACGTCTTCTTCCAATTTTTTTTATTTGGAGGAAATGTCTTTCTGTTTTAAAAAGTTTATTACTTCCCGCGTGTTTTCAGAGAAGTGCTCATTACGTGTTTAGACAGGAAGAACTACTAAGGGGGGGGGGGCGTAATATCCCAAGGATGCACACAAGGACGGAAATTAATTACATCTTTCCAGGAAATGTGACTTTCTTTATGTTAACTTAAAAAAGAAATGAAGGAAGTTCACGCTATCCCTAGAGCATTCTCCGATAAGATGATCTACGCAGCTGACCGGAAAGATACCTTACTAAAAGTCGACATCACAGCGTATGTGGGCCGCTCTGAGATTATTTCGCATGCCGATGCTGTGGTCAAGCGGTGTGAATGTGTGCAGTCTGAGCGCCACCATAATCAGGACAAATCTTATGTTGGAGGGAGAAGACGGAGGGCACCAGAATGAGGGGTTTAATGTATACAGAACCCGGAGTTGTCCTCTCAGACGGCAATGGCCACTGGCGAAGCCAGGATCGTTGTTGACTGCGTCCAGTCATGCCTGAGAGTCTCTGGGACAGTGGTGGCAGCCGCTTTTGTAGGCTCGTGGGCCAAGCTCAAGTGGTGGCCAGTAAGTGTGTGTTGCATTTGCCGAGGGGTGGTGTCCCAGTGGCTAAGGATGCGGTCGCGGGGGAGAGGTGCGCTTAAGTGGCCGCATGGGCAGCTGCGGCTATGCGGACGTAATTGTGTCCGAGCTGAATTCGGTCGCGTTACTTCAGATCAGCGCGTCTGGAACGGCTCACTGCAAAAGGGCGCATGGCCTTGAGACAGCGAGGTCTTGAACAATGACGTCAGACCGGTCATGATGGCTGCTCGCTACACCGACCACTATTACAACGCTATTTCAGTTATCTTTTCTATTAAAAGCACATTTTGGGATTCCTGGCAATTTTAGGTAGGTTTTGATGCATACTGTACTTTATTAGGAGAATAGTTATGTGTCTAACATCTTGACGATTCATTCTTTCAAACAGGACATGTCAAACCCACGAGAACTTGCTACCGCACCTAATTATGTATCTATCGATTGTGTATCCCTTCAAATCGCCATGGATCTAAGCAATCATGCTCTTTATTATATTTAAACCGGACAAGTTAAGCATCATCGTCCGAGGTCGATACCTTTGAATAGGCTAGCTTACCTTACCTAAAGCGATTCCAGTCTAGGCTAATATGTTAGAATACTTTTCCTTGTTATTTGGGTCGAATTCCGCAAGCGCCTCGCTTTTGTACGACTCATCTGCCACCTACTTCTTTTTGAAAGCAATGTGCTGCTGTTGATCCCGTTGCCCCGTCCACTGTTTTGAAAGCAGTCGCTGAACAAGGTCTTCAGCTGACCAGTATCCTGACCACCCATCACCATTGGGACCATGCAGGCGGAAACGTGGAGCTCGTGAAGAGTCTCAAGGCGCAGGGCACCAGTCTTGAGGTTTACGGTGGCGGCACTGGAATCGCTGCTCTTACGACGCAGGTCCAAACGGGCGACGAGATCACACTCGGTGATCGCGTCATAATTAAATGCCTTTCAACACCCTGCCACACTCAAGATCACATCTGCTATTACGCAACCGATCGGACTAATCCCTCTGATGAGGGGTGTGTTTTTACTGGTGATACTCTCTTCCTGGCTGGCTGTGGCCGCTTCTTTGAGGGGACTCCCATGCAAATGTACGTTGGTCGCTGTACCTGTTTTTGATTTCTGATTTGTGTTGCATTATTATTACTACTGAGAACCTGCTATGATAAGCTTGTGTCCCAGCTGCTGTCATTGGATTGCAGGTGGTTCCAAGTATCCCAAGGATGTTAGGGCTGATTTGTGAAGGTCACCTTAACGAAAGCAAGAGAAGTCTTCCGTAGACGCATATATTTGCATTAGACTCTCATCCTTATGCCTTTCCACAGATGCCCTATTTAGGGTATATTTTCAATAACCTCGGGATCGAAAGTGCACTAAAATAACTAGGGCTGCATGCATTGTGAAGTTCTTGCGGAAGATGCAACAGTTTAGTCATGAAGTTGGATGACGGTACGACTCTGAATATAGAATGCTAAGAATTTCAGGCAGTAGACAGTACATCCAAAGCTAGATCCGACTCCGTGCTTTGGCTGCTCATCTCTAAGTGGAAGTCTGTTTGGACGACAGGTTGTCGCCCGAATAGCTGTGCCGTTTTTCATGGATCATATTCACTAACCTCTCTCTTTTGTCGATTCTAGAACTTGCACGTTATTACCTATCTGAATTCATTCGGATTACACCTAGTGACGGCGTTCTCGGACACAATTAATCACTGAATACGTTTAAATACCCATCGTCGGATAGGCGATGGAAAGACGTATCCGCTTGCCCTGCTTAATTTCCGAGGAAATTAATGCGCGAACTTGGAGTAACTCTTTCGAAACAGGCCTTTTCAGGCATGGTCCGAAATTTGATATGAATATTTGAGCTGAAATCCATCAGCTACTGCGGAATAACCGCTTAATATTCACAAACCGCCAACAGGCAGCCAGTAGTATAGCATTGTGCAATAATTTACCGTACTAACAACACAGGTATTAGCTAAAAGCCCAGACACGCGTGTTTCGCCGATCTTGTGCCGCTGCCTGACGCAGCTGCGAGGGGTTCGGACCATGCCTGAAAAGGCCTGTTTCGAAAGAGTTACTCCACGTTCGCGCATTAATTTCCTCGGAAATTAAGCAAGGCAAGTTGAAACTGGAGTTCATATACCGGAAAACACACGGGGAATGCTGGGGGACCCACTGACGAGCCGAACCCCTCGCAGCTGCGTCAGGCAGCGGCACAAGATCGGCGAAACACGCGTGTCTGGGCTTTTAGCTAATACCTGTGTTGTTAGTACGGTAAATTATTGCACAATGCTATACTACTGGCTGCCTGTTGGCGGTTTGTGAATATTAAGCGGTTATTCCGCAGTAACTGATGGATTTCAGCTCAAATATTCATATCAAATTTCGGACCATGCCTGAAAAGGCCTGTTTCGGAAGAGTTACTCCAAGTTCGCGCATTAATTTCCTCGGAAATTAAGCAAGGCAAGTTGAAACTGGAGTTCATGTACCAGAAAACACACGGGGAATGCTGGGGGACCCACTGACAAGCCGAACCCCTCGCAGCTGCGTCAGGCAGCGGCACAAGATCGGCGAAACACGCGTGTCTGGGCTTTTAGCTAATACCTGTGTTGTTAGTACGGTAAATTATTGCACAGACTTATCCGCTGCCAAATTAGTCATCTACTCTCTTGTATTGCAACATGTCGTTCCATTGTCAATATTCGCCAGACAGATCTCTTGTTTAACCTGCTTTTTCAGCGTTAGACATGATAGGATATCCTTTTCCTTGAAAAGTCGGCACTTCTGAACAACTCCTGGTCGTCATTGTTCAGATTTTACTTTTGTCGCCTCATCTGACTAGGATTTCCGTTCAAACATTCCTGCTCACTTTCTTAAGCAAGTAATTCTTTAAACTGACAGGTAGATCGCGTTTGACGGAAAAATAAAATGTATAGCGTCTGATTACTGTGTTCCCACTTGTGCGGGCAGCAGTGAAGGGAACGCATATGAAATCGGTTCTATTCGACCACACACTTCCGCGAAGTTAAGTCCAGGCGTACTTGGTCGCGAATGTGTTCCTAGTTTGTTCAATGCGTCGCTCTACCTAGTCATTTTTTTTCCTTTGGGAAGATGGAATCAAGTCGCGTCGTACACTTTTTGAACTAGAAACGGGAAGTAACTTAAGTTTGTTGTGAAGAAGGGGACACGACCGCTGGGACAAGAGTTTTATTTGCCTGACACTTCGGATTCCTGCTCGAACCCATCATTAGAGACAATAGCAGATGCGGATGGTTCATGCACGAGGGGCTGCAGTATTTATAGCATGCAGTCGCCATGCTACCGCATACCTATTAATATGAACGTCCCCCCCCCTTCATCAGCGATCATTGCGCTTGGTTTTATTACTGTTTTATGGCCGACATTCGCGTCGTTAATTTCTGCAATTTCATCACGTGTGTTGGATGTTGGTGTGATGATTGCTCGACCACCTGACCCACCGACCCTGGCGTTGGGAACAGTGTTCACCTGTGCGCTCCCCGCTTGGCTAATTACTCCGCCTAGGTGGAATTTCAGCACCGAGTATGGAAGGGGAAGGTCGTTGCATTTGATTATAGACTGGGTACCAGTGAATCATGACTAAAGCAGTTCGCGGCTCATGCGGTTGCCTCCTCTAGCGAAGATTCCGGCCTCGTCGTATTTGAATGTACGGCCGAATCTCGTCGAATGTGCCACAACTTGAGAGTTGGCGTCATTTCTCCGCACAGCTGCAGCGTGTTCGGTCATTCGCGTTCAGATCAGTCTTCCGGTTTCTCCGACGTAGTGGCTTTGTCCGCAACTGCACTAGTCCGATAAGCGACTCCAGACGTTTCTTGCCATGGCAGCGGGTCTTTTGGTTTCATCATCTGACACCTGATGGTTGCCTCCGGCCTGTATGCAACTCCAACCCCAAGTGGTGCAAGAAGGCGGTCGACAGCTTCCGAAACGACCTTGCCGTACGGAAGCGCTCGCCAAAATTTGGTGTTCGTGCGGTTTGGCCTTTCGCCCCTTTCGCGTATGCACCGGTTGACGAAATTGCGCGGGTAGCCATTGACTTTGAAGACCCGTCAAAGGTATTGTAGTTCGGCAGTCTTGTCTTCCGGCTCACTGCAGTGCATTTCAACACGCCGGTAGAGCCTCCTTACACAACTGGACTTGCGACTGATTGGGTGGATGCTGTTGTAGTTCAGTACTTTCGTCGTATTTATCGCTTTACTGAACAGTTTGATGTTTAGGCCACCACAATCTTTGCGGCATACGAGGACATCAAGAAAGGCCAGCTGGCTGTTATCTTCCTCCGCCATCGTAAATTGTATGTCCGGGAAGACCGCGTTCAGACGTTTCTTGAATCTCAGCAATTGATCCCGGTCGATAACGACGAAGGTCTCATTCACATACCGGGTCCAGAACTTCGGCATGTGGTGTTGAAAGACCAGCAATTCTAACCGTTGCAGGACTGCCTCGGTGATGAATCCCGAAATCGGTGAACCCATTGGTGTGCCCTTCACTTTTTTCGTATATTGTACCGTCGACCGTGAAGTGCGTCCTGAGACAGAGCTTCAGGAGCTGAAGGACGTGGGCGTGTCCAAGACGATTCTCCGTTTCACCGTATTTGCTTTGTAGAAGCAGCTCGATTGTCTCGATCGCCAGCTCCTGGGGAATAGAAGTAAAAGGGACGAGACAAGTCTAAAAGTGGCAGTATTTCCTTTCGAACCAAAATGGAGTTTTTACTCAAAGAGTGATTGTTGGCAGTGCCTACACTCCCAAAAACTAGAGCCAGCCAATCACTGGAGGCCATGTGCGTTTTTTCTTGCGCACTGTCAGCATGATCGTGGCACCTCGCCATTGGCTGCTCCCCTCGAGCCTGATTGTTTCGTGTATGCGAGTAATCAACCAGCTCGTCTAGCACTTTCGTCCCAAAGTGCATGGGGCCGAATGCGGACGAACCCCAGTAGGATGTTATAAATACGCGTTACTTTTTCAGTTAGACTTGACTTGCGGTTTCCTAATACACTTTTTCGTGACCGGACGTGTTCTCCTTGTCTGCCGCGTTGGTTTTGTGGACAGGAATCGAGTGCGCCGACAGCTCATAAAATATCGACGCAGCTACTTGGTGACGATGTGACTCTGTCCTCTAATCAGAACCTTAGTCTAGCGCTTCTGAAAGCCATTCAGCCTTATTTGTCCGTCCCCATGAGAAAAATCACCCTTACTGGCTAAGCTTTCGTGCTGCCTAGGATCTCATCGACTTCCTCTTATCGAGCCTAGTGCGTTAGTTTGTCTGGGAGACCCTAGGTTAACCCCCCCCCCCAGTGATTCCGAGGATTATTGTTCAGAAGGTCTCTTCTCTTATATCGTCGGACTGTCAAGTATTGTTTTCTTTTATGTGTAGGCAGCAAGCTCTGGAGGTGCTTGCTAAGCTGCCGGAATCGACCAAAATCTACTGCGGTCACGAGTATACCCTCAAGAATCTGCAGTTCGCGCAAACCGTGGAACCGGACAACATTGCCTTGAAGGAGCGCATTGAACGTTGCAAACTTAAGCGTAATAGTGGGCAGCCTACTGTGCCGGGCACTATTGCTGAAGAACTTGCCACCAATCCCTTCATGCGGACTGCGAAGCCTTCCATCCAATCCCACACGAAGACCACTTTGCCCGTGGACACGATGGAAGTCCTCCGTCAACAAAAGGATGCTTTCTAACCTTTTGACTTTGCGTTGCGCGGTTGTTTTTCTCCATTTCATAAGTCCTTCCTTCGTTGCACCTGTTGCCCAGAATTAGGGTAAATATATTTGTCATACCTCCATATAAGTGGCTTCTGTGTGAGTCATTCCAATTCGTACTCCTAGGAAGCCATTTAGAGGTTTTCTTGAACCGACACAACTATGCCCGTCATTTTTTTGGTACGGCTGCGATCATGCCTGATCTAGCCGGTCTCGATGTCCTGAACTGTACCTCTCCAAGCGTGACGATCCGCAGCAGCAGACCTGGGCAGTTCAACTATTCTCTTCACCTGCGGCGGAGACCGAATACCAAAGGTCCAATAACCACCTCCACGTCCTAACGAACTGTGTCGAGCCAGGTTTTGAATTGACCCCCCCCCCCC